TGGCACAGCTGGGACTCAAACCCAAATCCCACAGGGTGCACATCTGCACCACCAATCATTCCTCAGAGAATCGAGACAGGCTTTCATCTTTTCTGTCCTTTCTCAGTTTTCATAAGTACAGTTTTGACATTGTTACTGTCAGTGTGCCAAATACTTGGTTTTATTTGGGGGGTCCCATGTTGGCTGGCTACTCCAGTGTTGGCTAACTGCTAACTTAATCGCCTTAGCGGCGCTGGTGCTTCAATGGCACTAAATGTTTGGTGTAACGATTCTTCTTTTGGAAATGCTCTTTTCTAGTTTGGTAATACACTCTTCCGCACATTAACTGAGCTCATACACATCTCCTCTAGTGTCTTTGGTTTGGGAAATGAGTAAAAATTCAGTCTTTCCACTAATCTCTTATGAAATAGGGCCACTTTTCAGATTTACAAATATGCTACAGCATGTTGTAAAGTTTTTCAGCAATATTCCGAGCATAGTTACAATTGCTAGGCTATGAAGGACCAACAGGGTGAATTAATTTGCTACAGCACCAACCTAAGGTGGACCAGTGCTTCATAGTTAGTCATCAATTAGGATAAATAATGACCTTTTGTTGAATTTGTATTTGAGTGTTTATTTCTAAGAGGAATACTCATTGGAAAAGTCTGTGATGCTGGAAACAAGGTAGCAGGACAACCAGCAACAAAATGAATAGATACAATCAGAAGAATCATTAAACAAGCTAACAGAAGTCAGGATATTCTGGAGAAACACTATCCATGTGAACAGAATCAGCTATCCAGGAGTTGGAATTGACTTGACAGTATTTGACAGAATTCATACTGTGATGTTTATTTACAGTAATGACATGTTAATGACATGTTGTACTGTACTTTTAAATAGAGCATAGAACTATTTTTAAAAAAAAATTGACTACCTATTGACTGCACTATGTACAGACATGTGCAAAAGTTTAGGCACCCCTGGGCAAATTATGTTACTTATTTCCTGTAATGCTGGGTTTACAAACCAGATACTCACAGATGTAAAATAAACCATATGGTTTATCAAAAAAAGAATAATATGACGCAGTAGGGTTAACACTACAAAAACAATAATAGCCAAGAACGGTACATAGGAACAGACAAAAAGAGTAACGAGTAAACAGGCGAGGGTCTAAACTAAAAAGCAAACCAACCGGTAACCTTAGCCAAAGGGGTAAGTCTGAGAATCAACAACAGTAGACAAAACAGGGTCATAACGAGAGAACAAACTATGGACAAAGGGCTCAGTATGCACTGGTAAACAGAGGCAATACAACAGACAGGTATATACACAAGAGCAAACAGGTGAAAACAATTAGAATTTTGGTGACTGGGATTTGCTGACTGACTGATGATTGGATGTCTGGGTCATGTGACTGGCTGATGCATCTTGGGAGTTGGAGTCCATAAGATAGTGAGAGTCCGTCTGAGAGCTGGGGAGCATGCCATTTTCACACAGAAGATCAACGAACGTGATTTGACCAGTGTTGTTCCAGCTTTTGCATGGATTTATCTACACTAGTTTAATATGGAAATAACTTTTGATCAATCAAACATTCATTTTAGAATAAAATAGATTTATTGAAACAGTAAATTAGTTCAATTCAGTTATTCTAAAATACTAAGTTAATTCATGGTAAGCTCTATAAAGCTAACAAGCTGGCAAGCTCCTGAATGTACACCACTGTTAGCTTGGAACTAACATAACATTACAAAACTCATAGCTGAAATTAGCATTATATTAGAGGTTACAATCAGGTACTTAGAAAGGAAGAGTATATATACAAAGTAGTAGAATATAAAAATACAGTACAGGTACAGGTTGTGCAAAGTTTGCTAGCAGGTTGTTGGGTAGTTAGGTTAACGTTAACTAGCACCAACACTAGTTGAGTATATAGTTGTTGCATTCATCCAGATATTACTGCAGCTCAGCTAGCTCGGCTGTGTGATGATTGGTGCTTTGGTCCATTGTTTGTTAGCTACATTAGCCTTGTAGCACCGGTGCAAAACTAATTTCAGATTTCAGAAACAAAACAGCTGATTGACTATGCTTGGAATAAGAGGAAGACTGTGTTGTGAAACTGTCACTTTAATATGCACAAATCTTTCGCTTGAAGTTCAAATACGCCTTCGCTGCTGTCGTTTGATCTGTGTGGTCCCACCCGTCCTCCCTGGGTGTGTGTATGTGTGTTCCTCAGTGTGAGCTGTGTGAGACGTGATGGCGTCTGACGCGAGTCGTCTTCTTTCTCTGTTTAATCGGAGAGACGGCGCCAGTCACTTCTCATCGTTAAAATGCTTAACCTCAGCAGGAAAAGTGCAGTGGAGCTTCTTCTTCATTCAGCTCCTCTCTTCTTGCTCTCATTAGCGCTCTCCCCCCTTTCAGCTGAGCGCCAGGCGCAGCTTTATCACGTCCTCTGTTCTTTCTCCTCTCTCTTCTTTCCCTTCTTCTCTTCTCTAGTTCTCTTTCATTCCCTTTATCCTTCCTTTTCACATCGCTTCCTGTCTTTTAGGGCCCGACCGAAATGACATTTTTCTGACCGATACCAATTTTAAGAAGCTTAAAAGTGACAATTGATATGATTTCATATGTTTGTTAGATTTTAATGTTATGTAGTTTGTTAGATTATCTGATATGATTGTTTAGACTGTTATGATGTGAAATATAACTGTCTGTTCTCAGTGGTGATGTTTTGTGAACCCAAGTAAACAGCATAAACTCACATGGGTCCCAGTGGCACGACTGTCTGCTCTTAACACCGACCCCAATGACCCACTGAGATCATTTATATATATATATATATATATATATATATATATATATATATATATATGACTACCGACTACAACCACAACCCTTACTGGATATGTTTGCCTGGATCTGCTTCCATGTTAGGAACTGGATGAGAAAGTGCTGTTATTATTATTATTATAATAATAGTCAAGCCCCCGAAACAGACCTGGTTCAATGGTTTGATGTGATTTTTTCCACACAGTTACGCAAAGAAGACCACTTTGTTGAGAGACAGAGAGAGAGAGAGAGACAGAGAGCGAGAGAGACAGAGAGGGAGACAGAGGGTCAGAAGCTAAGCTCTTATTAACTTTACTGTAAGAGGTCAAATACACACACAGACACTTAAAAACAAACAAATTAGATAGTTTTTAGTGTTAAAATTTTGTCAGGTAAACAAGTCTCTCTATTATTATTATTATTATTGTACAAAACACTATGTGAAGGCTATGCTATATTAAACAAAAACTAACTCTTAGAAGTTGTAATTAAATATCAATTATTGAAACATGCAGATAAATTCTGTTCAAAGTGTGGAACTCAATTTTTCTTTGACATTTGCAGACTCATTGAGTGAGTTTGCATCAGAATCAGAATCAGAAACAAGCTTTATTGGCCAGGTATGCTTACACGTACAAGGAATTTGGTTTTGTTTACAGGAGCTCACAGTGCACAGTACCAGACAGACATTAACATGTAGTGAATAAAATAAATATAAAATAAAATACAGTAAAATACAATAAAATAAAATAAAATACAGTACAAAAAAATAAAATAAAGCATGCATTCCTACCATCACTCACTCAGACACACACTATAACCTTTACATTGTGCAGTATGGGTCTAAAGGTAAAGTACTGAGTGCAGCAGCAGTGAAGGGGTGTATAGTGGCAAAGAAAGGGATCAATGAGGTGATAAGGTGAGTAAGTGAGGTGCTAGAATAAACATACACGTAATAATCCGATAACTGCAAAAAATCAGATTTTGTCAGTAATCCGATCAACGTGTTTATGTGCACTTGAGTAATCAGATGATGTGAAAACTCTGGGTCTACGTGCAGTAATTCCGTGTAATTACTCCGGGCAGTAATCGGAATTCTACTTTGCAAACAGCAAATAAACTGGACAGAAGAAGACGTGACGTAAACATAATGTAAAATTCAAACTTCATGACGGCTTTTTTTTAACTACCACTTTACCTGAAAATATGAACATACATCAGAAGATGAAGAATATTTAAATCCTTCATTTCGTCAAGAATGTAGTTGATTTCAGTGTCGTTCCAAAACTGTTTTGCTGCATTTTGTGGCAACAATGCTACCAAAAATCCAGCTTTCTTCATCAGATTTCTTAATCAGATTTCTAGACCTTACTCCGATCTAAGAAATCGGATTGTGCTGTTTACATGACCATCTGAATAATCAGAGAACTGCAGAAATCCGATTATGATCGGATTATTGAGTGCATGTAAACACACTCATTGAAACATGAAAAGTTGCATGTGCAGACTCAAACCTGTCCATACAGGATGTAAAAGTCATTACGTAGCTATGCAATTATGCGATAATGCAATTACATTTAAACAGTAAAGTGAAAATGACAGCAAATATTAAATAAAGCAAATTCAAACATGAGTTTTCCAATCTCTGTCCTTCTTCTGGAGTTTTCCGGAGCCATTCTGTGATATATTTGGCCTTTTCACCACTGTTGGCATTTAGCTCGGGAATTTAAAGACCTTCAGAAAGACTATTCTGTGTGGAGCGGCTAAGTCGGTGTGGACAGCTCTTAAATGAACTGGAGCCTGGTTGTTTCTGGACGGCAGCCAGACTTAACCTGCTCTGCCAAGACTTCCAGTGCCATTATGGTTTTAGTGTCCACTGCATGCTTTGACATGAATAGTCTTTGTAATGTCCTTGCAGGTAATGTTGTCTCTTGTCTTTTTATTCTTCTTTGTTTCTCCCTGTGACTGATTATCTGTTTATTTTGGCCTTAATAATGAGTCGCTCTGTGTAAACTGAAGGAATTTGCTGAGTGTCTGATTTATTTCATTAGCAGAGGATGTGCTTCCCTTAGCACACTGGATTCAGACAATGGCTTGAACAAAGAGACAGAATAGAACACATGCTGTAGCGCTGGTAATGATAAATGTCCAGTGTTTAAATAGTATAAATGTGTGTGTGTTTGTAGGACACTCCAGTGGGGACCTCAGTGTTCATGGTTAATGCTACAGACCCTGACCAGGGCACCGGGGGCAGTGTGCTTTTCTCCTTCCAGCCTCAATCTCCATTCTTCTCCATCGATGGAGCTCGAGGAATCGTCACAGTGTCCAGACGACTGGACTACGAGACGACAACAGCCTACCAGCTTACTGTCAATGCTACGGTATATACACACATTTTGTACACATGCCGCCACAGTGTACTGTTCAAAATGTTTGGAATCGGTTGTCATATTAACACTTTTTTATTCAGTTACAATCTCAGAAATAAAGGTACTAAACTGTCACTGGGGGCAGTACCCCCTTTTCTCACTGGGGCAGTACCCCTCTTGTCACTGGGGTGGTACCCTCAAGGGTACATCTCAGTACCTTTAGTCAGGGAACATAACTGTACTATAATCCAGTGAAATTATGTTTTCTAAGTTGACTCCACACACCCCGTCTCGTCTTCAGGCTTTTTATTTTATTGTTCTGTTTTAAAACATTAGGTCACAAAAACAGGTGCAGTCAAACTGGTGTCAATGTTCTCACTTTCATTTTCAGTTATGCTGGAGTGTTAAAAAAAACTTAATGTTAAGTGTTAAGTGTTGGTACACATGACAAAATTTAATGATGTGTGTTTGTGTGTGTGTCTCCTCTCTTACAGGACCAGGACAAGCTCCGCCCTCTCTCTAGTCTAGCTAACTTGGCCATCACTATCACTGATGTTCAGGACATGGACCCTATCTTTACTAATCTGCCCTACAGCACCAATGTAGAGGAGGAAGCACCACTG